CACTTTTGATGTTCATCGGCCTAAGCCTTCAGCCACTTTTTCTCCCAGCATTTGGGGTGACCATTTTCTGTCCTATGCTTCTTTGGTAAGACTTCTTTCTAACTACAATAAACTATTATATATTTTGAACACTATATTATTATGAAAATTAAATTTGTAATTTTAAACAAAGAGGAAAAAAACCAAAGAGTACTTTAATCATTTAAAATGCTACTGATTCGAAATCATTTTATCTAACTTTTCCTTCCTTAATGTGGCAAACATGTTGCGAATCTAACTACCAAAGTTAAATTCACACTTCTTTTTTTTTTCTTTTTTTTTCCTTTTTTTGGGAAAAACAAGTTCTTAAAGTCATGAAAACTGTCACGCAATAACTATTTCAGGCTAGGTGCCTCTCTTTCCTCAGTGTTTACAATTTAGAAATTGACATCATAAGGGTTATGTGTTTCCTAATGTGTCATCAGACTTATAATCATCTTATATTAATTGTAGTCTATATCTTTTGGTACTTGGAAACCTCCTCATTCAAACATATCATAAAGGTTATGCGTTTTCTAATTTCTTAAATCAAAATGTGATCCTGTGGAGGAAGTGGATGCTGAACTTGAACAACATGTACAAGAACTGAAGGAAGAAGTGAGAAGGATGCTAACGACATCACCTGAAAATGTTTCCCAAAAGTTGAACTTGATCGATGACATTCAGCACTTAGGTGTGTCCTACCATTTTGGAAATGAAATTGAAGAAATTTTACAGAAAATTCACAAGAGCTCTTATGATTTGGATGACCTGTACACAGCTGCTCTTCTTTTTCGATTGCTTAGACAACAAGGTTATAACGTTTCATGTGGTAAGTAATCTCGGATGGTGGTTTGGTCATATATTTTGTTGTTTTTCGTTTTTTTGTTTTTTTTTTTGTTTTTTTATTTTTTTTTGTTTTTTTATTTTTTTTGTCTAAATGCTTCTTGAGGTTCTGAATTTTCCATTTTGTTGGTCATGCAGACTTATTCAACAAGTTCAAGGACGGTGATGGAAATTTCAAGGAATCACTCGTTGATGATGTTGTAGGACTACTAAGCTTGTATGAAGCCACACACCTTAGGATACATGGAGAGGAGATACTAGATGAGGCTCTAACCTTCACCATGACTAATCTCGAGTCGGCGACATTCCGTTTAAGCCCCCCACTTGCAAAAGCAGTAACCCATGCCTTAAATCAGCCGCTCCGAAAGGGTTTACCAAGGGTTGAAGCAAGGTATCACTTGTCAGTCTACCAGGAACTAAGAGAATCACCGAATGAAACTCTTCTAACGTTCGCCAAGTTGGATTTCAACCGACTGCAACGAGTCCATCAGAAAGAACTAAGCGAAATCACCAGGTAAATTAATTCCTTTTTCATCCAAATACATCACTTACTAAAGAGTTGAATTCTCCACCTCTAGCTACAAATAAATAATTATTTTTGTAACTCAGGTGGTGGAAGGACTTGGACGTGCCAAACAAGCTACCTTTCGCAAGAGACAGATTGGTTGAGGTCTACTTCTGCTGGAGTATGTCTGTCTATTTTCAGCCTCAGTATTCCTTTGCTAGGAGAACATCATGCAAAGTTACTGCTGTAGCATCCATTATCGATGACCTTTACGAATATGACACAGATGAACAACTAAAGCTCTTTACTGAAGCTATTGAGAGGTATGAATATATCATTAGTTAAAATTATCTTATACATAAAAGAGTTTATTTCAGTTTATTAAACACAAGTCTCGTGGTTTTCAACATTTAGTACATAAAATTTTTTTCGTCTTAGAGTCATACCTAAAATGTTAACTTTGAAACAGTTTCATACATCTATTAAGTTTTCCGTTAGAATGTCTGTTAACTGATGACGTAGCGTCTACGTGGACCATTACTAAACCTCACGTGTCAATACGAGCCCACTTCAATATTAAAAAATTATACAAAAAAAATAAAAAAAAATCCGTACCCACCTTCTCCCCCGTACCCTCTCACTCCCTTCTCTCTTCTGCAACCCCCTTCTCTCTTCTGCACCTGCACCACCCTACCTTCTCTCCTCCGCAACCCGCACCACCCACGTCTCAAACAACAATCTCCATCCTCCACATCTCATCACATCTCACGAATCAGATCAGAAACCCTCCCCCCTCTCTTTTCCCCTCCCCAAATCTTCGCCCACAATTTCACGTCTACTATTAGGGTTTCTGAAAATGTCAGGTGCAGCAATAGCGGTGAGCTACTTGAGCTCCTGGGCACGCGCCCTCGTCCAGATCTCTCATTACACTTTCTCCGCTATCGGCGTTTCTGTCCTTGGCGCCGCCTGGTTTTTCCCTTTTCCTTGTTTCCTATCCATTTAGTAATTAAAGTTCTAATCTTTAGATTAAATACTGATAATGAATATTATTGGATGGAAATTAGGGGGATTTATATAACCGGGAGGGTGGCTACGGGTGCTACCGCATCGGGTGCGCCTTCGCACCCAAAAAAGAGCATACCTTCACCCGAAAAAGAGCATACCTTCATCCAGCCCTCTCTCCTCCACCATGCCTCCTGATACGGCATCGATTTAGTCCCCATTTCAATCCCCGATTCCACCACCACCGCCAAGACCTTGATCGAGCAAGGCCCCTTCGATTGCATCATCCACAAGAGAGAAGGGAGGGAAAGGGTGCGGGTGCAGGTGCAGAGGAGAGAAATGAGGGTGGTGCAAGTGCAGAAGAGAGAAGGGAGGGAATGGGTGCGGGTTCCAGAAGAGAGAAAGGAGGGAGAGGGTGAGGGGGTGAAGGTGGGTAGATATATATATATATATATATATATATATATTTTTTTTTTTTTATATTGAAGTGGGCTCATATTGACACGTGTCAGTCAGTAATTATCCACATGGGCGTCACGTGAAGTTCTAATGGAAAACTTAATAGATATATGAAATTGTTCTAAAATTAACACTTTAGGTATGATTTTGGGATGAAAAAAACTTCATGTATTAAATGTTGAAAACCACAAAACTTATAGGTAGTAAACTGAGATTAACTCTATATAAAATATCTTCCCTTACATCACCATCCGATCAAAAGGAAAAACTAACCTAATTACACACAACTGATTTATGTATTACTTGATAAGATGGGATGTCTCAGCTATGGATCAACTACCAGAGTATATGAAAGTTTGCTATAGAGCGTTGTTAGATGTATACAATGAAATTCATGAAAAGCTTTTGCACGATGGAAAGCTATATCGCATCCACCATGCGAGAGAAGCGGTACTAATCCTCAATATGAATTAGCAGTAGAGATGATTTTTGAATTATTATAATCTCATGATCTGGTATGTGTCAGATGAAAAAACAAGTTAGAGGCTACTTCGTTGAAGCCAAATTGTTCCACCAGAAGCACATACCATCACTGGATGAATACATGTCTCTATCACTCGTCACCAGTGGCTACCCGTTGCTAATAACCACATCCTTTGTTGGAATGGAAGAAGCTACAATAGACTCCTTTGATTGGTTGTCAACTTTCCCTCAGGCGGTGAAGGCTGCATCAAAAATTTGCAGACTCATGGATGACATAGTGGACCACAAGGTACTTAATCGTATATGTAAATTGTATTAATGAGTATTGTCAAATGCAACAAGTCTCACACTAAAAACCTGACAGAACAAAATATAACCTCATATTAAGTGGTTCCACTTCTAAGTACACCGAACGTTTTTATGACAAAATTTTACACTTGATGGGCTAGCAAATGGTTGAGTTAGAATAATATCCTGTTTGACCAATTAGTAGTGGCCCCTCCCCTCCCCCTTCCCTCCCCTTCTCTCTGAAATCTTGACAAAGCATGACTATTATGATTGGATTAATACTTATGTTACTTTTTATCTTAATCCTCATGCATGACTAGTTTGAGCAAGAGAAAGAACATTTTATCTCAGCTGTGAATTGTTACATGAAGAAATATGGTGTCACAGAAGAAGAAGCGATAATTGAACTTAAAAGACAAGTGCATAATGCATGGAAGGACATAAACGAAGCATGCCTCCACCCTACCGCTGTCCCCATGCCCCTGTTAATTCGTATTCTTAATTTTGCTCGGATCATGGATGTTGTGTACAAGTGTGAAGATGGCTACACTAATGCTAAGGGCGTGCTAAAAGATCTTATAGTTTCTACACTAGTGGAACCCGTGGCTTTATGAGCCTGAAATATCTAGGTGTTGTGATGTTTCTTTTAAAAGTAGTCTGTAGGGCCTAAGTTGCCTACAAAAAATAAGGAGTTACGATCCGTTAAGACCGTAAAAATGTAATTTGGGTTGTGCGTTTGCTTTACATATTATGATTTTATGATTAATAAAAGAACTTCTATGCAGTTGGAAATGAATCATATATTAATTATTCAGCTCAAATAGCACACTAAAACATGCATTTATATGGCTGTTGGTGCCAAAACTTGGACGGAGCTTGGTTACGCAGTTTAACACGTAATTGCCCTGAGTATTGTTTTTAGTCTCAGTGCCACAAGATTGTTCGAGAGAAGAGAGAATATGTGTGCCTCTGTTGGAGACTGTCAACATAGACAATGTTTGTGTGTTGTGCATGTGTGCAAGTTACGTGTTAATTTGACTTCAGAAACACACTACAAGACAGCACCACATTTATCGCAGTTAATTCACCACGGACATAAGAGACTCGTTGTAGAATATCCAATATTACCACGGACATTTAAAGTCCGTTGTAAGTAAATGGTTTTAACAACGAGCAAAACCGGTCTGTAATAGAACATGTTAGAATAATAACGCGCAAGTAAAGCTTGTTGCAGTTATTTGATATGACCACGAGGATAGCCCGTTGTTGAAATAAATTTAATCACAGCGCCTTCTTGAAATCAATCACGGTATATGAATGTTGTAGGTTAATTTATTTAATATTACTCCAAATTTGTTATCAGAACCAACTCTATCTTAAACCCAATCTATATACCAATTCCATATCTGATACCACCAACCACCCAGTCTCACCCATTCGCTTCCTTCGGCGGTTTCTCTGAAATCTCCAAACTACTCATTTCTCTCTCCAAAGCCCCGCCCCCCTCTTCTTCGAAATCACAACCGTCTTCTGTCTGGCGCCCACACAAGAACTCGTCACTGATGTAGAGCCCGCTGGAAGCTTTCCCTAGAGAACAACATGTCGGTCGCCGTCCCTATGCCCTCGCCCAGTCGCCGGCTCGACTTGGATGACCAGCCATTCCTCAATTCCAGGATTAGTATGTCTCTCGATTTCTTTGTAAAGATATTAAAATTTAATTCCGTTCATTGAAATGATACCGGATTATTCTGCCATTAAAGTGTAATTATGAATAAGTATGTTTTTTTACAATTCGATTTTGGCTAAATGTGATAAATATTAAAGCTTTACTTAGTTTTGGTTCAATACGATAAGGTGCAAGAGAAAGGGATATGTTGATAACTAGGAGGCAAGCATGCCCAAGCATAGAACGAGCAGTATGAAATTTGTTGGGGTCGAATTGTGCCCTGACAATGTGGCTATTGCCATGGTATTTTGTTCAAGGTGTCCTAGGCCTTGCAGGGCTTGCTGTCAATACTGAACGAAATCAAGTGAAAACTAGAAAACTCGTCAAAAACTGGGCAAACTTTAAACGTTCATAACCTCTTCAATACTGAACGAAATAAAGTGATTCAAAAACAAAAATCATATTTCCCGACGAGACGAAGAGAATAGTACCTTTTTTCAACGGCTAACTTGTCGTGGTTTGGCTGGAAAGCAACTCAAAAGTAGCTATCTTGGTCTCGAGCCATTTTTTGGCCAAACCACGGCGATTTAGTCATCAAAAGGGGTACCATTGTCTTTGTCTCGTCAAGAAGTATGATTTTCGTTTTTGAATCACTTGATTTCGTTGAGTATTAAAGAAGTTATGAACATTTAAAGTTTACCTAATTTCCGGCAAGTTTTTCAGTTTTCCCTCGGACCAGTCAACTTTGAGGCTATTTTCCGGCCATCTCCGGCAACCATTGGGCTTCCAAATAGGTATAATCTTATTCTACACTTTCCTATCTTCATTTTGATATATTATGAGTCGATTTGGTTATGAAATGATTGAGTTACGAAGCTTTGAAAATTGCTCAAACTTCCGACCAAGAGCTCTGGGACATAACGGAGTTTTTAACAGAAGGACCAAAATGATGGATGGTGCACAATTTCAGGGACCACTTCTATTGATTTGAAATCTCAGGGATCAAATTGATGTGTTATGCAAATCTCAAGGATCATTTTGGCGATTTAGCCTTGTTTGAAATTCTCTCTTTATTGACCTAAAGGGCAATTTTGACATAGTCAAACAAAAATTTGAGAAAAGTCTAGGGTTTAGACTAGTTTACGTTACTTAATACTACGGTCTAGTAGTATTATTTTTTATTTGTAAATGAGAGGTCTTAGGTTCGATTCTAATCAAAAGCGAATTTGAACCACATTATTGCTAGCCCATTGTGAGGTTTAGCCTACTCCCCCACTCCTTTAGTATAAATAATATTGATTGTTCAAAAAATAAAAAAAATAGTTTATCGTTTTGCCAGTCAATACTATAGTCTGGTGATATTTTTCTTTATCGGTAAGTAAGAGGTTTTATGTTCGAACTTGTGAATGACAAATTCAATACCTAATGAAATTGCCTACAGTATCGTTGTTATCTTTGATTTTGCATTTTGGTTGCAGGAAACATTCTTCTTCGAGTTTTAGGGTTTTGTTCTTCCTAGCTTTTTTTGGGTCAGGTATATAATTTATCTCTTTGGTGTTATTTTTTTTATTTTTGGGTTTTTTGATTGTTTGTGCTTCGATTTTTCTCTCAAACTTAAAAAAAAAAAAAAAAAAAAAGAGGAATACTGTTGATTAGTTTTTGGGTTTTGCTTTATATGTTTCGGTTTTGTACTGTGAGTGAGGAATTTTTTATTTTGGTGTTTTAATTAAGGGCTAAACATTTCCAGCAATACAAATGGATGATCATGATTAATTTTTGGGTTTAATTTAGCTTTTGATTATTGTGGATGAGTTGCGAAACTTCTTTTCGATTATGTGATCAGTGCCTGTTATGTTGTTCTTATCTTGATTATATTTGGTTGAGGTCATGATGATTTATGGGTTTTTTAAAAATATGATCCAGGTTTGAGCATTCTGGTTAGCAGGCCCGCTTAGTTGAATCAGCTAAGTTTCATGTCTGACATCGACGTACTGCTTCTAATGCGTTTGGTATGTCTTCTGTTAACTCGTAACTCATCTGAGAGATCATTTATTTATTGAATTCAATTGAATAAGTTTTTTAATTGAAAACCTGGGTACCTAGATGCTCCAGAGACCATTTTCAATCATCGATACAATACTGTTGTAATTTAGTAGTTGTGCAGTTTGAGAATTGTTGTGTAGTTGTTCCTTCAGCAACCTGACTAACCTGATATACTCAAGAAACCAAGCAAAACTGCTTATCTGGGCATTATTGACAACCTAAATGGTTTGGTTTGGTTTGGCTATAATTCATATGAATCTGAAGTCGTTAGTTCTGGTGTTAGGAACATGGTCTTTAAGATCTGATTTAACAACCTGGAGCAATATGCATATATACTGGTGAAAATATAAGGTTGTGAGTGTGGTACTGATTCTTTCTTTGTATTAATTGAGCTTATAAATATTTTAAGGCCTCAAATATAGATTTGTTTTCCGTATCAATTCTTAACTTATCGGTGTTAATAGAATTGATTTGGTTTTGTAGATCAGAATTTTTAAACAACAAAATTAACCTGCAAATTCAGTTCAGGTATCAATGCTTGCGCTTATTTAGATTGTTGAATTCATCTTTACCTTTACTAGATTTTATTTTTCAATGTTGTTTGATGCATTATCGTGTTACTTTATTATTAGAGCAACTCCAGCGTTGGAGCCCTCCCCCCTGGCAATACACTATTCAATCCACCTAATGAACAGTAATTGCCCTTAATGAACAGTAAGTAGCCCTGGCAATAGATTTTGCATCTCCACCGTTACACTTCTATAGCCCTGGCAATAGGCAATAAAATATTAGTATTTTTTTTATTTATAAAATTAATACAAAATAATTTTAAATGTAATATCGGATAAGATTTTTAATCGTTCTCGTTGCGCCACGTGTCATTATCCTAAGTATTATTAAATAATACAAAATAAATAATTATAATACAATTATTGGTGATGGATTTCTGATAAGATTATTAACCAATCACGTCGCGCCACGTGTCATAATCGGTTTACAATCTTTGAGGATAGATTTCCATCAGATTTTAAACGAATGACGGCATGCCACGTGTCATAATCTGTTAACAATCTTTGATGATAGATTTCCATCAGATTTTTAACGAATGACGGCATGCCACGTGGCATTATGCAGAACCTAATCCTTTCTGAATCCTCTATATAATCCACCATCCATCTTCACAAATCTCACACCAAAATTCTCAAGATCTCTATCATTATTCATAATTTCTGCTTCCTTATTCACAAAAATCAGTTTCAATATTCATAGTTTCTGTTTCTTTCTTTCAATGTCTTCTTCTTCTTCTTCTTCCTCAAGGATGATGTGGGAATTAAATCAGGAAGAGGAAGACTTGTTTAACCAATCAGAATCAATGTTCAATCACCAGGGGGTAAGAAATGAGAGGGAAGAAGATGAGGAGCGTCAAATGAGAGATGACGACGTAAGAAGGGGCAGAGCCTCACATTCCCGTCGAGTCATCCAAGCTGCGGCTCAGATCTGCAGGCCCAGGCGTTCCGGAAACCTTGATAGAAGCAGACAACGACGAGGTATGGAACTCTTGGATGATTATTTTGTTCCTAATAGTGCATTCCCTGATACGTACTTTAGACGTCGTTTTAGAATGGAACGACATTTGTTCAACAAAATCATGATTGCTATTTGCAACCATGATTCTTATTTTGTGCAAAAAAAAAGATGCTTTTGGTGCTATGGGTCTACTGCCGGAGCAAAAAATTACTGCTGCCTTGCGGATGCTTGCATATGGAGCATCTGCAGACCAAGTGGATGAGATAACGAGGATGGGGCAATCAACCATTCTTGAGTCCCTGATGAGGTTTTGCGGAGCAATCGAATCTATCTACACCGCTGAGTACCTCCGCAAACCCACACACATGGACTTGGAGCGGCTGTTGAAGAAGGCGGAGATGCGTGGCTTTCCTGGGATGATTGGAAGCATTGATTGTATGCACTGGACGTGGAAAAACTGTCCAAGTGCATGGCAAGGAGCTTACGGGGACAGAAAAGGGGCAAAAAGTATCATTCTAGAGGCGGTGGCATCTTTTGATACATGGATTTGGCACGCCTTTTTCGGGGTCGCGGGAGCTCAAAATGACATCAACGTCCTTGCCCAATCCCCAGTGTTCAATGATGTCCTGCAAGGAAAGGCACCAAAAGTTACATATGAGGTCAACGGACGTATGTACGACGGGCCATACTACCTAGCTGACGGCATCTACCCGCACTGGTCAACATTTGTCAAAACAGTGCCACGTCCGCGGAGTGCGAAGGAAAAACACTTTGCAAGCTGTCAAGAGGGGTGCAGGAAGGATGTGGAGCGTTGTTTTGGTATCCTCCAAGCTCGCTGGGCGATCGTCAGGGGTGCTGCCAGATTGTTTGATGTAGAGTCGCTTCGATCCATCATGATGACATGCATCATTCTTCACAACATGATTGTGGAAGATGAGTACGATTATGAAGCTGTTGATGAATATGAGCCAGACCCGATGAACAATTCAAGAACACGTATATATTGTGCTCATGACGCCACCGATGACCCCGTGCAACATGAGCCATTACAAAGGGATGGACGTTACAATGAAAGGCCCATTCAACGATATACTGCATTTCAAATGCCAGACATGCACAATGCCCGACAAATTGACTTGATAGAGCACCAGTGGGCATTGAAACAAGCTGAAGATAATTAAGTTCATTTTAGTGTGTTATTTTGAATTTGGTATGTTTATGTTATTTTATTTGGTGTGTTTTATTATTTGGTATGTTAATGTAATTTTTTTATGTTTATGTTTATGTAATTCTTAGTATGTTTATGTTTATGTTTATTTTGAATTTGCCCAATCCCCAGTATTTATATAAAAGTAAAAACAATTTTTTTTACAATTTTTTTCAGATTTTTCAGATATTTTTTTGAATTTTTTTGAATTTTTTACAATTTTTTTTAAATTTTTATTCAATTAATTAATCTCTGCCGTTGGATATAAAAAAATTTGAATTCCAACGCTCCAGATTGTGCCACATGTCACAACGGTAACTTTTCAGATTTTTTAAACTATTTTTTCATTTATTTTTTAATTTATAAAGCATTTTAATATCCACCGTTGATCTCAGATCGAACGGTGGATATTAAATCTGACACTTTTTTTTTTTTTTTACCGTGAGATCTAACGGTCCACATTAAGTGACCGTTAGGATCTAACGTACCGTGGGAAGCCACGTGGCTTCCCAACGGTAACAGACAAAACTTTTTTTTCTTCTGATTATTGTGTCAGGACGCGCCCCCACGCGCGGGTGGGGTGCACGCGCCTGACACAAAAAAAATTAAATAATACGCTGACGCCACCCTGGCGTCATCCCCACCTCGGGCTCAAGGCCTGGCAATCCCTCACGGGCCTGGCCCTCGGGCCTCCCCCATCCCCCGGCCTGCCTCACGCTGGAGGCCATCCACCGGCCCTCGGGCCTTTGTTCTGGAGACAGTCCCCCGAGCAATTTGCTACGGTGGGGATGCTCTTAATAAAACTAATTTGGTTTTGTAGATTAAGATTTTTTTAGCGAGAGAATCAAGTTCAAAATTCAATTGAGGTATGAATCATTTTGCTTATTTGACCTGTTGAATTCATGTTTGCCTTTGCCGCATTTTATTTTTTACAGTTGTTTGGTACATTATGGTATTAATTTCATTGTAATTTTATGGATTTGAAGTCGTTATTTGGATTTTGGACTGTGAGAAGGATCTGGTGGGTATAAAGCTTCACTGCTTTGTATTGCAGCTCATTTTGATAACATTTATAATGGTATATAATCTGCTGGATTAATATTCCAGTTTAATAGTGTTGTTTATTATGTGTGACAAGTTATATTAGTAACATTTACACTGTTATCTGTCGTAGTTAGACTTGCTGACCATTTTTATCCTGTTTATGACATTTTCGTGCTAGGGTTTTTGAGCTTTGTTACTTACCCTTTCGTTTTTTTTTTTGGTTGCTTGATTTGTTTTGCAGGTTGCATTTGCAAAAGGGAGAACAACATGTGACATCCCACATCGCCCAGGGGAGTGATCCTTTATGCATATTCTCATCCTTACCTAGCACGAGGCCTTTTGGGAGCTCACTGGCTTCGGGTTCCGTAGGAACTCCGAAGTTAAGCGAGTAGAGGGCTAGAGCACTCCCAGGATGGGTGACCCTCTGGGAAGTTGCTCGTGAGTTCCCAAAAACAAAACCGTGAGGGAATGGTAAGCCCAAAGCGGACAATATCGTGCTACGGTGGTGGATCGGGCCCGGGAAGTGGTCCCGCCCGAGTCGGGATGTGACACAACATCTTAGATAATTTTTGTGCTTATGAAACATTTGAGGGTAAGATTCACATGGTTATTTAAATCTGTGGGTTTTGTTTCTTTGATTTTAAAATGGAAAAAACTTAACATTTTTTTTTCCTTAGATTTTAATTAGAATGTGTTGTAAAGCTTTTTATGCATTGCTGTGGTTTATTGTAATAAGTTGGTAACTATGTATAAGAAGCTATTAGTTTTGGATTTACAGAAATTAGGTGTTCAATTAGTTGAGATTATTTGGTTTCCCTTCAATTTTCTTTGTTTTCTACTTTCTCTTATTGTCATGTATTTTTGTGACTTATTCTTATTCTGCGGTTTAATATTATGTTAGTTTGGCAAAACATTATTATTTAGTCAGTGGTGGTTCTGTTTATGCCCAGAAAATGGTTAGCTAAAGTGTATTGACACATGGTCTTTTTTATCAATGTGTTGTAAATTTTTTTATATGTTGTGGTTTACTATGGTAACTTTTAGCAAGTATGTATGGGGGGAAATGCTTTTGCTTTCCCCTATTTCCTTTTTTTTTTTCGCAGAAAAAAAATTTCATGCAATATTTTTCTGTTTTTGTTAAAATAATGTCCTGATGTGATTAAGTGCCTAAAGGTTACACATTTGGTCTTAAGTGTTATACTCTAATATATTAAGTATACATGAAATATCTAATTTATCTTATTTATTGGCTGTATATATGCTGCTTAGCAATTTGATTAGCTGAAAAATTTAGCCAGCAAGGCAATTTTTTTTATGCTAAAACTGTTGCAGAGATGTTAGTTAACAAAAAGTGGGTCACTGTTTTTATCTTCTCAATTAAGTTTTAGAGAAACATTTACAATTTTTTGAGGCATTATTTCATCCTTTTTCCATTTAAGTTTTCATTGGCATTTCATCTTTATTTGAATTCTTTTTTTTTCGTTTCAAATTAACATTGCTTCCCACTTGACTACAGGCTTTCTGTCACATCCCGATCGGGGCCCTCACCATAACCAGGGCTTGACTCTACCGTAACACGATATTGTCCGCTTTGGGCCCCGACCACTCCCTCATGGTTTCGTTTCTGGGAACTCACGCGAGCAAAACTTCCCAGTGAGTCACCCATCCTGGGAATGCTCTGGCCCCTTGCTCACTTAACTTTGGAGTTCCGACACGCCTTGATTTCGGTTGGGGTGTGTCACTTTCTGTACAGATTTCATTTTGTGGCAGAAAATTTTCATTATATATACCTATCATTAGTCAAATTCAAACTTAGCAATAAGATAACTTTTTAATTATATACCTATTAACTCTCAATTCCGTCATCAGAATTGCTCTTAATCTCAGTTTCTCAATTCTTTAGCGTCTAGAACACCCATTCCAAAACACTAGCTTCACTCTTACTAATAGACTTTATCTTTTATGTTTAGCATAAAATAGATAACAATGCATGATAATGAATTACAAATTGTTTTTTTATTTCTTATATTCAAATTTAGTTTTTGCTCTTTCATCATACGTATGACTCCATTTTTCCATCTGTGACATCCCACATCGTCTAAGGGAGTGATCCTTAAATGTATATTCTCATCTCTACCTAGCGGGAGGCCTTTTGGGAGCTCACTAGCTTCGGGTTTCGTAGGAACTCCGAAGTTAAGCGAGAAGGAGGCTTGAGCAATCCCATGATGGGTGACCCACTGAGAAGTTGCTCGTGAGTTCCCAAAAACAAAACCGTGAGGGAATGGTAAGCCCAAAGCGGACAATATCGTGCTACGGGAGTGGAGCGGGCCCGGGAAGTGATCCGCCCCGGGCCGGGATGTGACAAATTTGGTATCAGAGCCTAACCCTGGTTGCGTGTGTGCCGACGAGGACGTCGGGCCCCTAAGGGGGGTTGATTGTGACATCCCACATCGCCCAAGGGAGTGATCCTTATATGTATATTCCCATCCCTACCTAGCAGGAGGCCTTTTGGGAGCTCACTGGCTTCGGGTTTCGTAGGAACTCCGAAGTTAAGCGAGTAGCGCGCGAGAGCAATCCCATGATGGATGACCCACTGGGAAGTTGCTCGTGAGTTCCCAAAAACAAAACCATAAGGGAATGGTAAGCCCAAAGCGGACAATATCGTGCTACGGTGATGGAGCGGGCCTGGGAAGGGTTCCGCCCCTGGCCGGGATGTGACAATTTTGGGAACTCACGAGCAACTTCCTAGTGGGTCACCCATCATGGGATTGCTCTCGCGTGCTACTCGCTTAACTTCGGAGTTCCTACGGAACCCGAAGCCAGTGAGCTCCCAAAAGGCCTCGTGCTAGGTAGGGATGAGAATATACATATAAGGATCACCCATGGGCGATGTGGGATGTCACAATCCACCTCCCTTAGGGGCCCGACGTCCTCGTCGGCACACACGCGGCCAGGGTTAGGCTCTGATACCAAATTGTCACATTCCGGCCCGGGTGGGACCACTTCCCGGGCCCGCTCCACCACCGTAGCACGATATTGTCCGCTTTGGGCTTACCATTCCCTCACGGTTTTGTTTTTGGGAACTCACGAGCAACTTCCCAGTGGGTCACCCATCATGGGATTGCTCTTGCGCGCTACTCGCTTAACTTCGGAGTTCCTACGGAACCCGAAGCCAGTGAGCTCCCAAAAGGCCTCGTGCTAGGTAGGGATGAGAATATACATATAAGGATCACCCCTGGGCGATGTGGGATGTCACACCATCCATCTCAACTAATTATTATATATTATTTATTAACTGCCATACAACCTTTTTTTAACACTTTATTTTACAATTTAGGGAAGAAAAAAAAAAAGCTAATTCAGCAAGGGATTTACAACGTTGACAGATACATTTTCAAGCAATGAAGACACAAATATTCAAAGGTATGTAAAATTAATTAATACTTTGTTAACTTTGTTTTATTGACGTTCTACATTTAATAACAATATTTACTAGGCTTTGTTTTATTGGCGAATTAGCTATTACTAATATATATATATATATATATATATATATATATATATATATATATATATAAACTAGCTTCTTTTTAGTAGAGATAAAAGTATAAAAGTAGACATTTGCACTAGAGATATACCATCTCCACATATTTTAATCTAATATGTTCTTTCACAGATTTACAAAATATGGGCAGGATTTATCTTTAGTGGAAGGATGTCTGTTTATACTTTTGAATATTGGCCTTAAATCTTTCACTAGACAAACAAATAATAAGCCATGTATTAACAATAAGTTAGAAGAAGAAAGTATCTATATAAATTGATAATAGTTAATTCCTCTGTAGAGAAAAGACAGAAATGATTATTCTTACTCCAGATAATCAAAACTAAGTTTACCAATTTATATAAATCTAATCCGTCTTAGAGCGCCATTTAATTTTGTTTTAAAAATTATAAAATTGGCAAATAAACTGCCATTTAATCATAGCATGATTTGCAACACTTTTGTAACTCTTATATAACGCTATCACTAAATATATTTTATTGCATCATCTTTGTTGTACTAAATTACAACAAACTTATCTTTTCTTAGACATTATTCAAATTCTCATTCCACGTATGTTTCCAATTTCATTTACTCTTTATTTTTTAATACATTTGTCTGTATAAATTAATATAACATTAGCCAAAACTGAACAACTTACAAATTATGCTCAATCTATTTTTAATAAATTTTTTAATTGTTACTACCTACGAACTTTCTTATCTCGCAGCAACGTGCGGCACCATTTCCTAGTTCATTAACAGTAAAGTGCCGGAATTGCCCTCCAATTGCTCTTTAGTATTCTATTTTTTCCGTTTCTATACAGCGAAATGGCGGATTTACCCATTGCTGGCCACGCTTCTCTCATCGCTTCACCTTCTGTTTCTCGACTCTTCTACTTCATTCCACTCTCTCATTCAAAAAATCAGATCGCTCATCGCTTCTTCTCCAAACCTCTACTTCGACTACAACTTCTAAATTTTTCCTTTTGTGTTCACTTATCTCTCTCTCTCTCAAATCTCTGCTTCTCCTGTGCAAATCTCAGCATAAAATTAGTTTTCATGTGTCCTTAAATGCGAATCTTTTTCCTCTCTAAAATCCATCTAAAAAAATGTATAATGGTTATTGTTTCTCTCAGCAGGTTACTCGGAGAAGTCTGTGAAGGGTCAATAGGACAAGATGGATTGCGTTTCAAAGTGCAAAAAATACAGGGCCTGCCTGTCTATGCGTTTCCAATCTTCCATAAATCATGTTCGTGGAGGCGATTTGAGAAGGATTTGAAGCTCGGCTACAGAGATTTGATTCAAATTGGTGGATTTGGGTAAGAAACTAAGAAACCCTAATACTGTCTTTTGGTTTTAAGAGAACTACCATAAAATCCCTCCGAAGTGTTTGTGATTCCAAATCTAATCAACTTTTCTTAAACTCATCCCTTTCCCATGTAGCAAATCACAGCTCTAAAATATTCCAATTACTTAATTAATTATCATAAGCTTTTTGTAAAGTACTACTTCAATATATCTTTTGTGATTCCAAATCTTATCAACTTGTCTAAAACTCATCCCTTTCCCATGTAGCAAATCACAGCTCTAAAATATTCCAATTAATTAATTAATTAATTAATTATCATAAGCTTTTTTTAGAGTACTACTTCCATATATCTTTTGTTGCAACGGATTTGAAGTTTCCCGGGCTTGGATTCTTGGAGTATTCCCTATTGTTTGCTGCTAAACAACTGCCTTTCGTTTGCTATCTTGCATGGTGTTTACGACTTATTGCAAAACTGAGTTCTCTTGATAGTTGTTGTTGTTTTAAAATGCATAATTTAGTGCAACTAAATCGTTTGGTTGGTTTATATTTTAGAATCCTATTGTTTGCACTTTGCAGTGATTTTATGTGTTATATTATGTCTTTTACTGCAAAACTGAACTTTCTTTATTTTTTCGCTTTGTGTGCAGTTAGAGCTGACTATATGAGCACCCAAATTGTTACTCGCAACTTGGTAAACTTCCATACTAAATCTTGCTTCTTTGAAACCTTTCTTTTAGTTTTAGCCTTTTTAATGTGGAATATTGGTGAAAATAAGAAGTGTTTTTAATGTGCACAGTTGTTATATTAATGTGCTTGATTTCAGCCTTCTCTTTTGAATTCCTGAAAGAGTGGTATAGTTCTCTCATTCACTTCCTTCTTCTTTCAATACATACTCGGTTACAATGTCAATATTTTTGTTCAAATGAGTGATGGAGATTTCAAATAGGTTGTGCACTCTGTATTCTGCAGTTTATAATTCCCCTCCTCATTTGAGTTTTCCTTATCATAAGTATTTATGATCTTATTTTTCATCTTGCACTCTGTGTGAAGTGTTCCTTGTAATAGCAGTGTATCTTATGGTGGGTTTATAATAGCAAATGTGAAGTGTTGTTTCTAATAGCACTGTATCTCATTTTATGTCATAAAATAAGGAGGGGAATTTTGAATACAGATTTCAATTCAAATTGTATGTGAAGTGTTGCTTGTTGTTGTTATTGTTTTTTTTTTTTTTTTTTTTTTTTTTTTTGCCTTCTTCATACAATTATCATCATTTGGTCATAGCTGCTCGAGTTTAAGTAGTTTGTGTCCAACTTTCGGATTGTACTTTCTGTTGACAATGATCTCATTGTTTTTGATGTGGGACAAGGTTTGAAGTTGGAGAGACCAAGAACTAGGCACCCTCTACAGACTGCAGTACTACTATTGCTAAGGTCTATTTCAGTTCCTCTCTACTCTCTTAGTCTTCATAACTTGCTTTTTATCTGTCTATCACTCTATCTTTCTTCACATTTATATATTAGAATAGACTTAAACCACTTACTACTTGATTATAAGGCTATTTCCTTTAGCATTTATTTGTGGAATGATCCATGTGGTTTCACCAATGAACTCACATCCTTGGATGGCAAGAGGACTCAATAGAGCTCAGTATATAACTCAAAATCGAGTAAGATCTTGGATGTATACTACTTGAAATCAATTAAAATCATACGATTAAAATACTTATGGAATTACAGTCTATGATATCATTTTCCTGTTCATTGAAATGTGGTGAAGATTGTCCATGCTCATTGCTCCTCTCCTCCGTACGCATGCTCCTCTTTTTTTTTTACTCTTACCATTTTTTCTTTTTAAATTGTAATATTTGTATATGTCTTTTATAAATGCTTTCAACTTTGAATTTTGGTTTTGTAATGGCATACAATTGCACCTTGATGTTTGTAGATTACAATTTTTTCGTTTCACTGTAGGGTTATATCTTCTACACTCTTGAGCAAGAATATCAGATTGTATATATATATTTTGACTTCACGTTTGTTGGTTTTATTTCAGTAGTTTTATGGGTGATACAATTACGAAGGTACTGTATGAAGTTACAGAATTTCATGCGAACTTTCAAGGTTGGACTCCTGGTCTTTCTCTCACTTTTTACTTGAATGTTGATCGGGCTTTAAGTATTGTTACTTAATTATTTTATTTTATTATTTTTCTCAATCAAATTTTTTCACTGAAAAATTCAGTTTATATTCATCAATAAACAAAAATAAGTTAATGTTAGTGATGTGTCTTTCTATCTGTATGTTATCTCACTTAGTTTGGGGTTAACTAATAATTAGGACTCATAAGAAATTTATAATCCACTCATGGGAAAAGTTTTTCCCGCACTAATCACTACTATAGTGTTAACGTTTGATTAGATTGGGTAATCATTCAAAAATTCAGAACAAAAGCTCATTGTAACCTCCTCCCTCCCTCCCTCCCTCCCTCCCTCCCTCTTATTGCATTTGGGTTTTCTCATGTTTCTCTTTCTGTTGATCTAATGTGGGGTGAATTTGTTGAATTTTGGTTGAATTGGAATGTGGGTTTAACTGTGTTGAGTTTTTATTTAACTTCTGCATTTGGGTTTTCCCATGTTTCTCTTTCTGTTGATCTAATTTGGGGTGAATTTGTTGAATTTTGGTTGAATTGGAATGTGGGTTTAACTGTGTTGAGTTTTTATTTAACTTCTAGAGTTAGTGGATTCAAAATTAAGAAATAGTAATTGGTTGTAGTTAATCATATAAAAGATGTGTATGATTTTCATGTTGCATGTGAGATGTTAAAATACAGTAATTTTATTCTTAGTCTTGCTGTTAAAAGTTGTTTCATTGATGTATATACACCCTTTTCTGTTGTGGATCAGCAGGTCCAGCTCAAGATATAGATAAAAGAATACAAGCTCTTAAAAAAAAAAAGGTATAATTTATTAACCCTTTTGGCAAGTTAGGAATATGTACTCCTTTCCTTGCTTCGGTATGACTATAGAAATTGTTTGGCAGGTTAGGAATATGTACCCCTTTTCTTGGGGTTTTCAGTGGTGTTTTTAATAGAATTACAGATTTGAGTGATGAGTTTTTTCAATGGTGTTAATTTTTTAACAATTTATGAAGCTATTTGTAAAATTTAGTCAGATTTTTTTTATTAACAACTATTATATCGTTTTTTATTCCAATTCGCAATTAGTTCATTTGTTAAATTTAAGCTTGATTATTTTAGTAAATTTTTATACCTTATGTCCAAATACATATACAATACTGTATATGTATAGTTTTCATAATGTTGCTGAGCATTTTGAGTATGCATTTTTTGTGTAGAGTGAAGAATGTACTGTTCACAAAGGCAAAACAGGGAACTACTTCATATGGGAAGAAGAGGTTAGTTTAATTGTAATTTTTTTTTATTTGGTTAAATTCGAAGTTGGTTGGCTTGCATCTAATTCGGTCATTTGCTGGCATAGGTTGAAGTCACTGGTTTTATTAATGCTGGTGACCGAAATCAATCCAAGTTAATGTTAATACGATATCACTATTTTTGTTATGGTGAGGACTAAGAACTTATAACCTTTTCTTTATCTCTCATTTTTTAAATTAAGAAATTTACTTTTTTATACCTCTTTTGTGATCATTTACTGAGAATTTGTTAATTGTTTTAATATGTATGAGGTAGGATTTCTACGTTCATTTCTTAACTTTAGAGATTGCTGGATTTCATGTTGTCGAATAGTTTATGGATTTTTCATATTAAGTATGTCAATATGTTATTGCAGTAATTCAATTGATGTGATATAAGTTGATGTATTTATACCTTTAAACATAAAAAAATTCACATAATTTTTAATCCCGCAGCAACACGCGGACAAAACTTTATAGTGTAAAACGATAATTGCGTTATATATGTAGTTGTAGACATAATCTAATGGTTGTTGTCTTCCATTAACTTTTATTTCTTAATCCTCATCAATTCATTTGATCCGATGGTCAAAAATTGAAAGGGTTTGTAAAAGATAAAAGGAGGTGTGTGGTTAACACCACCCTATTTCTATTTCAAAGTCGTTTTTTTTTTTTTTTGAACAAATAATATTATCTGCACTAAAGAGGAGAATTGTGCTTAGCCTCATAATGAGCTAGCAATAATGTGATTCAAAATTGCATTTGGCAAGAACAAAACCTAAGATATTTGACTTATAAGTGAATAAAAATATTATTAGACCGTAGTATTAAGTGGTTTTGAAGTCATATTTTAGCATAACTATCGGCAATTGCTGGTTGAAGGACCAATATGATTAGAAGTTAGAACATAAGTAAGTACCACCAAAGCATCCATTTTCTGAGGACATCAACGATTTCTTTACAAGATCCGTTTGTCTCCCATACAATCACATATAAGTTGAGAAACCAGGAAGATAATAGAGACTCATTATACAGGAGGAAACTTTAACACATAAATCATAAATGACTAATTAAACTCATAGGACCCCAATAGAAATCCTCCACACACAACTGCAACCCCGATTTCCCATTGTAAAACGGAAAATTACGGACGGTGAATGATAGTATGTTTGTGAGAGGAAGGGGAAACCGCAACAATAAACTATGTCAATGACCGTGCCTTAATAAATTAGGCATGACCCAAGCTCATTTAGATAAGGCACTGCACGGCATGATTAGCAATGAGTGGCCAGGTCAGTCCTAAGGTTTAGGTCCAATAGGCTGGCCCAGCAGCGATTCATCGTGGCCAAGCACGACCCATGATGTGGGGCCATTATGATGACTATCCCATTAAACTAATACAGAATTAAATATTAATATATTTATTCATTATTTTTCAAGTAAAACATACGGTTTGGAGCTAATAAGACTAAATAATTGTGATATTAGGTTTTAAACTAGATTCAAATAATTTTTTCTGATAATATAAGATAACTAAAGTTTGTTGAGGGGCTTGTTTAGTCGCACAGCCCAAGAACGGCTTAGGCCCATATGACACCTTTAGGTATTAGAGCGTTTGACACCTTTAGTTTTTAGGGGTGGGCATGAGAACCTAGAATCGAGAAACCGAATTGAACCAAGACAAAAAAAAAAAAAAAAAAAACTTTTGACAAGAATTGAATTGAGCCGATTCAGACTGGTTTCGAGTCAGGTTCTCAACTTGAAAAAACTAGCACAACCAAACTGAACCAACTAATAGTAATTTAATTTTTATCTTTTTTTTTAATAAATAATATTATCTACATTAAGAGGATGGATGAAAATTTATTTTTTATGTTTTTAAATATATTCAATAAACATAACCCATTTAACAGGCCCTTAAAGGGATCCCCATTTTTTTTTTTTTTAAATGGGGACACCCTCTTAACCATTAGATATGACTTTAATGAAATTATGTGGTTGAGATTAAATCACAGGCTACATAATTTCAATCACAGAATTTCATTAAAGCTAAATTTAACGATTAAGAGAGTGTCTCCAATTTTTTTGAAAAATAAGAATCCCTCCCTTAAAGGCTTCCACCCATCTAATACTAATCTCTCGCAAGGCCTACCAAATTTAACTAAATCGAAGGTGCAAAGGCCCATAACCTAACTAAACCCTAGTGACTATATGTCTCTTCCTCTTCCTTTTCTTTATGCAGTCTAGCCACCAAACCAGTCTCACATTTTGTCTCTCCCCGTTTAGAGCCAGTCTCTCTTTTCTTCTCTACCATTTCTTCTCTCTCTTTCCTTCTTCGCCCTCTCGTTTATTCTCTACTAGTCTCACAAATCTTGCAGGTTTATGTTTTTACCTTGTACGCTTCCAGCAGTTTGACTCAAATTTGTAAGAATTTATCGGTGGAAACATACTGTTGGACGTTGAAGCAGGACTCGAAGGAAAAATATATCTCTACAATAGAATGCCAGAAGAGTACTTTGGTGTCTCAAGCCCCTTAAACAAAAAAAATAAAAAAATAAACAAAAAAATTAAAAAAACGTACAGTTAGAACAATAAACTCAAGCGTAAGAGTGGAAAGGTTCTTAAAAAAGAAGAATAAAAAAAGTATAACGTGGGAGAAAGGATCGATCACCACGTTCAGTTTTGCAACTACATTCAGCAGTTACCCTTTCGGTTTTGCAGACTACCACACTCGTACGTGGGATAATGTTCGTTTTGTAGACTCCGACACTCCAACACTCCAAAGTGGGATAAAAGGGGTAGAAACCAACGTCCAGGTCACCGATTCTTCTTTTTTCAATTTTTTGCTTTGAGATTTGCGGTAATTCCTCTCCCTCTCTCCCTCCCTATCCCAGGTGCTCAAATGAAATTAATCTGGGTATAAGCTTCCGTTTTGCTTTGAGGTACACAGTGTTTGCTTTTGTTTGTTTTGCTTGCTTCTGTTTTCTCCACTGATAAAATTATTTTTATTTTTAGGATGCCAAGTTTGGTAGCAAGAAAGCGCCGGAGTCGCAGCAAAACGGGCAGTCCACTGAAGGGGCGGTGAGTAATCGGAGTAGTTCACATGAAGAGAACAGGTAGTGGATTTGATCTTATCATGTGGTGCATTGCATGGACTTTGTAGAGTTGGACTCATTTGTTCTTCGATTTTGTCTGTTTTTCAGGCAAAAAACTCGGCAACTCCTTCAAATGGAGTCTTATCTGCATGACGTGTTAAATTTCATTGAGGATGTCTTCTGGAAATTCCAGTGCGAGGGTTCTATGTGATGTTCCCGTGGATGAGGAAGCGATGCAAAGGCATCTTTAAATTCATATGCCTTCTGGAAATTCCAGTGTGAGCTATGTGTTGTTCCTGTCTGCACCTAAAATGTGCACCACTTCACTTATTTGGGCCATTTGGGTAAAATATGACATTTGGAGGATTAATGTGCAAAAAGGCTAACTTGGAAAGTTTTTTTGGCTGCAAGTGGAGTTATTTGACATTATAATATTGCTTTTCCCATTTGTTTGGGTGGTGGATGTTTCCCAATAGCTTTGTTTAAACAACAATTGCATGTTTTCCTAATGCAACTAGATGGGAAGACACAGACATTCTGACAGAGGATACATGGTGAAAGATTGCTTCTTTTAATTAATAGTTTATTGCAAGTGGTGAAAACATGTGGTGGAAATGCAAGTTCCCATTTTAATATTATTTCACAATGCAAGTTGGCCAAGCTTTTTCCGGGCAAGTTCATTGTTCTCAGCAAGGGGGTTCTTTCAGATCTCTATATAAAAAAACAGAGGTAGAAGGATTATGGACACTCAAACAACCAATCAATCAAATCAACTCATCAGCTTCCTTGTAGGCATTTAGCTTTAGCCAATCATCCATTGCTTTCCTTGTTTATTAGCTCTGCTGTTTACTAGTAGTATTGATCTCATATTAGTTTATGTACAACTCATTTTCAGTCATTTAAATTACAAGCAATCTACAAAACCAGTCATTTATTTTCCTCTGTCATTCACACTCAACCTTGTGATTTAGTTGTTGTTACATTTTTCCATATAAGTAAAGTCCTTATCTTTAAGGCAAAGAAAGAACCCTGATTTGAGTCACTCCCACTCAATGACACAATCTCTTGGTTTGAAGTCGAATTTAGGCGCAACCTCAATCGTTCAGATCCCGTCTACTAGCGGCATCTAGTAGTGGCACGCTCGCACCCACCAGTTTCATGTTTGAGTAAATTCCCGGCATGCCCGAGAGGCCCATGGCGAATATAGGGAGCAAATAGTTCCCGTGGATAAGTAAAGTCCTTAATTTTGACGATGGAGTTCATTTCTTTTTTCTATTTTACTCGTGTCTTTTTTTCATTTATGTTTGACTGGATTTTGATAATTTGATGGTGGTCTTTCGTTTCTCATATGGATGCTTCGCCTCCATGACTTAGGTTAGAGAATTTTTGTCTTTTAAATTACTCTTCTCTCTGTAGAGAAGAATATATAGCTCAGTTGAATATCAAAGTGCGCGATAAACAATACTACAAACTAATAGAAATATTATTAAACAAATAAAAATACCGAAATGGCTACAAAACCCTAAGGCGTTACATTGTGACTAACTTGTTTCACAAATTAAATTACAAGTAATATTTATAGAGAACTAAACATAAGAAACCCTAACTTGGATGGGTTAGGCCCAATTCTTAAACTAACAAGGAAAACCCAAATACTAATATTTTCCAACACCTCTTGTCAAACTCATGGCAGTATACAACATGGGTTTGCAAACAAGCAGATGTGGACTGGCTCCGTTAGGCGGACTGGCAGGCATGCAATCTTGACTTGACTGGCAAACTTGATTCGACTGGATTGGCAAACTGATTTTTACTAGCAAACTGATTTTGACTAGTGTTGAGAGTATGGAAAGAACTCGTCACTAAACGCACAAGGTTTCCATATCTCAATTGTAACGTTCAACAAATTCTGACAACTATCACTTGAGTGGTCAACACTCCAAGCACCTGAGGAATTGTTGCGGTCAGCAACAACATGCTCCAAACACAAACCCAATATCAAACGTGGGCCCAAAGAAAAAAACAAAAAACCAGCAATTTCTTCTCCTGCCCGTGTGGGCCTAAATCACAATTTTTATTTTAGGAAAATTAATGAAAATGACTTGAAAACTTTGAGTTTTAATGATAAGGACAAACTAGAAGATAAAATGAATAGTACCATGATTGACTTTTTGTGTAAAAATGTAGTTTTTCGTTAAAGTGAACAATACCGTGGGCTTTTCGTTAAAACTCCCTTTTTTTTTTCTTCCTTCTCTCTGCCTTTCTTCAATTCATGCAAAACCAATTGTAGCAAACCAAAAAACTTCTAGTGCAAAGTCACTGCAGAAGGGGACTTCATAGGATTGTGACAAATCCGACTTGTACGAGTCGGTGCGGGTACAGTGAACGGGTGGATGTAGCAGCGGAGATGGTGGTGCGGGTTAGAATGCAGGTGATCTAAGGCGAAGACGAACTCGATCAGAGTTTATGGTTCTCGGGTCTGGGCTTCGTCAAACAAGCAGGTGACCAGAGACGAATACGAACGGCGGGGAAAGACCAAAAGGCCGTCAACACAACTAAAAAAATTATCACTTTTTTTCCTTGCAACCTGTCAAACACAACTAGACAATCTGAACACGAACGACAACAGACATAAGCAAACAGATACCAACCCAAAGCAGATTACACCCGGAAGGATGAAACCTGCTCTGATACCAAGTTGAATATCAGAGTGGGCGATAACCAATACTACAAACTAATAGAAATATTATTAAACAAACAAAAATGCCAAGACGGGTACAAAACCCGAAGGGTGTGTTTTTTTGCCCTCGTTAAAGTTCACTAGACTAGACTGCTTTATTAAGACTACTAATCCCGTGTTTGTTGCAAGCTGGACTAAACTTAAATAGGATTAAGTCGAACTCGTTCCGACTAAGCGCTTCGCCAAGTCATCCTTGTGAGAACCCCCAAAAACCACGAGATTGTAATCCCGTCTCCAACATCGTTTGCATACCTTTGTTGTTTGCAACTCCTACTCCCTTACCCCTGCCCAGATTTGAAACCCACACCCACCCACTGCTTAAATCTCAAAATCCAACATCTAAAATTCCCCCAAAAGCACATGCAGACGAATCTCCCAAACAAATTCAAAACAAAAACGCAAAATCACCAGAAAATCGTAAAATTTTCTGAGAAAATTAGAGGAGGCATTGGGTGGTGAGCTCTGATGAATCCTTTGCACGAATCCTCTGCATAAGGAAAAAAGGGAGAGGTTAGGGAGAGAATGGATGGTGGAAAAGAGGGGATGGGAAGGAGATGGGAAGAGGAAAATAGGGAGATGTATACGGAGAGTGGAAGAGAATTCTAGAAAATGGTGAACTAGATAAAAAGAGGGATATGGGGGGAGAGAGAGTAGCGGAGGAAAGAGGAACATGTTAGAAAGAGGTGTTTCTAGAAACAAATAAAATGATAGATTAATACTAAAATATTAATAAATAGGAATTAGATAATATAATATCTAAATTTGATAGTTATTTTATTTTTTAGTCCGATACTGTATCAAAAGTTTGATTAAGTCAGTCCATCTTAGTTCTTGAAGCTGATCCAGTTCGAGATTATTTGGTGCAACAAACACACCCTAAGAGGCTACATTGTGACTAACTTGTTTCTCAAACTAAATGACAAGCAATATTTATAGAGAACTAAACATAAGAAACCCTAACTTGGATGGGCTAGGCCCAATTCTTAAACTAACAAGGAAAACCCAAATACTAAAATAAACATAAATACTAATATTTTCTAACAAGCTCTTCTCTGCACTGATATTAATATGCAAGTTATTGTTATTGCATATATTGTTTCCTCATGTTATCTTTTCTTTTGTCAAAAAAATTATTGTGTTCTTGGTTTTTTTTTGGTTTATGTAGGAATATGAAGAAAATTTAAAGTGGATTTCAACAAATCGAGAATGGACAAAAATGATAGGAGCAATAATTTAATTTTACATAATGAATAGCATTTGTGACCTATATAAATTAATTTGATTTGCTTCTGTATCTCCAGTTAATGCTTGACTTCACGCATAAAGACATTCTTGATTTCTTGGTTTATTAATTTGATACCTTTCATAATGTAGGTTACAAATTATAAATGATTATAAGAATGTCTTTATGCGTGACCAAATGTAAAAAAGAAAAAAGAACTTCATAATCCGTGCGTAGCGCACCGTGATGTAAAAAGGCATTTTGCAAGTGCATGAGTACGTGCAAAAAAGTTAGTATAAATAAAGCTTTTTATATTAACATCCTACATATTGTTGAATACACGGTACACCACACAATTGCTTTTACAATTAAAATTTAGAGACGTTTTGATATAGGCGCCTCGTTTTTTGATTTTTTAGACTAAACATTCCTTTTAAAAATTTGATCAAACATTTTCCTAAAATTTTGGTTATTAATTTCAACTTTTCATATAAGTTCAACTTTGTTTAGAATTTTAATTTTTCACAACTTCTCCTGGGTATTTCATTTCGTTTTCAATCGCGAATTCTTTGAGCCACTCGTAAACAACGTTAAGTTGATTGGTCTCCTTCTTCAAAGTACTTTGACTTTGATAGCTGATGGTACCTACCTGTCAACAGGTACATAACACGTGGCAGGATTCAGATCCTAAAAAGACACGAGTTACACACAAAAACAAAATGAAAGACGTAGCTTTACGCCATAGGCCCACATGTATAAGTTTCAACCCGTCGTTTTCGTACTCGCTCTTCGTATGTGGAGGCACCCATGCTCGACAAAGACGACAACGTTGGCTAGTATCATGCGTGGCAGAATCTTCAAACCACCCATCGTCTGCAATTGCGAATTCTCTGAGCCACTCGTAAACAACGTTAAGTTGACTGGTCTGCTTCTTCAATCCCTATTAAGACACGAATTACACACAAAAAATGAAAGATGTAGCTTTATGCCATAAGCCCATATAAGTAGATTGAAAGATGATGTGTGGAATTGAATGACGATGTGTATAAAATGGATGATATCACATGTTTCTATATAAAACGATTGAATGATGATGTGTGTAAAAAGGATGACATCACATGTTTCTTGAGATACGGCTCATATATTTTGTATTTGTGTTTATTCTTTATTTTAATGGTTTATATTGCGTCCATTGGTTAAGTTAACAATTAATACAATTCAAATTCAAACTCGAACTGTTAAAATAATTGGTGATACAACCTGACACATTAAGAAATTTGTTGATGCATGAAACTTCATTTCAAATAAGGTATCCAAAAGTCAGTGATGAGGATTGTCATAATGAGTTTGATAAGGGAGGTATGTACAATTATTAAAAAAGTCAGTCTCTGGTTTAAACTGATACTTGTGGTTGACACTAAATCAATCAGTTAATTAACATGTCACTAACGAGTCTACCCGTTTCAACCCGAACCCATTAATGCTC